TCCCTACTGGGTGACCGGGGAGATCAGACTCTCCATGCAGAGCAAGGCAGAGTGCAGCTGCTCAGAAGCCAATTTGAAAGCAAGGGCCTGCATGTAGTTGGCATTCAAGAAGCCCGAACCGAGCCTGGAATGATAGTGTCTCATACACACATTCGGTTTTGTAGCGGCAAAGCTGAGGGAGGCCTCTATGGAGTCGAACTCTGGATTTGTCGCGGTCTTCAGTTTGCCGATGGAATAGGGTTCCATCCTGGGGAATTTCTTGTGGCCTATGCTGAGCCGAGAATCATGATTGTCAAATACCAAGGTCAACTTGGTACATTCGGTTTCCTGGTTGCACATGCCCCACATACGGGAACTGCACCATCAGAACGGCGCGAATGGTGGGACAGACTCCAGACACAAGTTTCATGTACGCTTGGAGAACTTGAGTGCATCGTTTTTCTCGATGCAAATGCAACTGCCCCCACTGAAGAAACAGTGCATTTTGGGGGATACACACAAGGTCTTCCCAACAAGAATACTCCTTTTCTGGAAGCTTTTGTGCATAGAAATGGCCTGTTTGCGCCATCGACTTTCGAGGCATTACAACATGGCCCGCCAGAAACATGGACGCATAGGGCAACAGGCAAGAGATCTCGGATTGATTACGTTCTGCTCCCCTTGTCTTGGAAATGGGCGCAAATCGACGCATGGGTTGACACTGACATTCATGTAGGCCATGCCGGTTTTGACCATGATTGCACCTGCCTTGGTGTATCTTGGAAACAGCTGATTCGCAGACAGTCTCGCACTAAGCGTATTGATGACGCTGCTCTTCGAAATCCGCAGAACCAGGATTGGGTAAGGGAAATATGGGCATCCTGCCCACAACCAGATTGGAGTATGAATGCTTCACAACATGCTGCTTTGATTACAAATCATTTGCAGAAAGAGGCGCTTCGGCTCTTTCCGAAAAAGCAGGGTCGACAACATAGAGAGCATGTCTCGGAAGAGAGTAGGGAGCTTCACAGACGCATGACTAGCCTTCGAAGAGCTTTGCGCAGTCTTAAAAAACATGACAACTTCTCTTTGTGCGCTGTGACTTTTCGGCATGGAAAGCGTATAAAAAAGGGAAGGGGTTTAAAGATGCTGGACAGGAGTGGAATAAGCTAATTTCCATTGCAGCCGCACGGCAAATGCAGGAATTGAAACGTGTTTCCTCCCAATTTCGCAAACAGCTCCGATCCGACCGGAAATGCTTTCTTCTTGAAATTGCAGAGGCGGCAAAGAACTCCAAGCCAAATGAAGTTTTTGCAGCCCTCAGACCAATTTTGCAGCCGTCTAAGAAGCAGTCAACCTTTCCTAAGCCTTTGCCGGTCTTGAAGGATGAGAATGGGGACACCCTGCAAACCATGGAGGAAGTGAATGCCAGGTGGGTTCGACATTTTGCCCAACTGGAAGCGGGCAAGGAGGTGGAGGTCCCTGAATTTGTTCGACGTATGTTACAACGTCAGCAAGATTCCTGCAAGCCTGCTGAGTACCATGTGGAGGACCTGCCTAGTCGTCTTGAACTAGAGAAGGCTATTCGTAAGATGCACTATCGAAAAGCTCCAGGACCAGACCGGCTTCCCAACGAATTGTTGAAAGCTAGTCCAGGTGATGCTGCCATGGTGCTCTATCCAATCCTTCTCAAGATGACTTGTCGCCTGGAAGAGCCGCTCCAATGGAAAGGGGGACAGATTTTCTCTTTATTAAAGGGGAAAGGGCAGCACTCTGACTGCCAAAACCACCGAGGCATTTTGCTGACGTCTGTTTTGGGGAAAGCAGTCCCCTCCTCTATTCGTACGCGGTTGAATGAACCCTACTTGCTTGCCACGGATGACCTGCAGTTAGCAGCAAGTCTTATTCGGCACTCAGGTTTCCCGACTTTTCGTTGATAGGGGCAAGCGCAAGCAGAAGAGCACAGCGATACTGTTTTGCGATGTACAATCGGCATATTATCGTGTTTTGCGGCAAATTGCAACGGGTGCGCGCGTGACCGATGAAGATCTGGCTTTAGTCTTGTATCGGATGGGCCTCGGGCCAGAGTCGATGTCACTCATTCATGAATGCATGACCCAAAAATGTGCCTACCAAGAGCTTGGAGCAGGACCTGTTCAGCACCAGGTCCTTCAAGAAACTTTAGAGGGCACATATTTCACCTATACAGGTCATGAATTCATTCAGACACACCGAGGCACCAGGCCGGGAGACTCGTTAGCCGATATAGTATTCAATCTAGTGTTCTCGCAAGTTTTGTCTGAAGTCCAGAAAGAGCTTGAGGCCAGTGACTTACTTTTGAAGGTACGCACAAGAAGTGACCGAAATCCGTATCAGAATCAACCGACTGAACAAATGCTTCCAATGTTTCAAGTCACATGGGCAGATGACCTAGCAATCCTTGCAGAATTTGACAAGGCATCGCAGATTGAGAGCCGATTGGCATTGATTGCCTATGTACTGTTACAGAAGCTGCATAAATACGGCATGAAGGTATCTATTGGAGAGACCAAAACTGCTGCAGTGATCTCACCAAGAGGACCCGGTGCCGTTCACATGAGACGACGACTTTTTGCTGCGACTCAAGCGACCTTTCCGGTCCTGCTAGAGGAGAACGCGATACAGCTTCCTCTCGTACCTCGGTACCGGCACTTAGGAGGGATTGTCGATGCCAATGGGAGCATGTTACCAGAAATTCGCACTAGGTTTGCAAAGGCGCGAGCTTCATTTTGGCGGGCGGCAAAGCATGTGTTCCGGCAGAGGCGTGTTCCCATAGAGACGCGCATGATGATTTTCAGGTCAACAGTTCTTTCCATCATGACTTGGGGAGTGGGAGCCTGGGTTGAGCTCAACCATCGAGAGCACCAAGCCTTCATCACCTCAGTATGGAATTTGTATGCTATGATGATGCCCAAATCATTTGTTGCACCATCAAGGGATGACATACGAAGCTGTTTGACCGGTGAAGACCCGGAAGATCTCATAAGGATTGCCCAGTTTCGTCATCTTGGGGCCTTGTTGCGAACAGCTCCTAACATTTTGTGGTCATTAGTTGCTGAAGATGACAATGCCATGCAGATGTACCACAAAGCTCTTGCTTGGGCATATTCCTTCCTGGATCGGGACTCGCCAGTGCGAGATGCACTGGATGGAGAGGCATGGAAGGAACTGGCAGCGAAACCAGCACAGTGGGCTCGCTATGGACGAACTGCCTTATACAGGGCAACGCAAGCCAAGCTTCGTGCCGCAACTACTGCAAGAGCCCATCGAGCCGTCCTGGACATTCTTAAGTCCAAGGGCCTAACTGATTCGTATGAACGAACGCAGCAGAGCCGACGCATTTGTGTCATCTGTGAGAGGGCCTTTTCAGCGGCTCAAGGATGGTTCTTGCATGCTTGCCAGAAGCATGATTATGTCAGCGAATCCAGTGAGGTTGTACAAGGGCAGACATGCCATTGCTGCGCTAAGGTGTATTTGACACAAGAACGCCTTAGGCACCATTTGAGGTATAGTACTAAGTGTCGAGCTTTTTTTCGACAACAGCGTGGGCACTTGCCTCAGACTTCGGATTCTGTCTCGCAGCATCCTCAGTTTCCCTGGTATAGGCTGAACCAAGAGAGATTTCAGGGACCAAACACTCTGAGTAGAGATGTTGCGCGTACTCAGAAGAGATTCCAAGAAGCACTCCAGACTTTCCTTTGTCCAGAAGAGGATGTTTTCTTTCACGAAGGTTTGATTCTGGCGTTGAAGGAAGCCTGCCGAATCCCAGTGCCATATGACACTATTTTTTCTGAATTTCAGATATGGGTAAAAGACTTTGAGGAAACAGATTCCAGGATCTTCTCTGCCGGCTGTGCGGTGCAAGGCTGGCTTGAGGAGCTGGGACGGCAAATGCACAAAGACGATGTGCGGCATGATGACATGCTTGTGGCAGACGAGACCAGTCGTCGAGCAATCAGTTGTCGAGTTGCCGAGGGAACGGGACACCCAGATGGAACTAGAAAGTCTACCACTCCCTCCTGGTGTGGTGATGACCGTGGTCTCTGTTGATGTCGCTATAGACCCTAGCCGCTGTGACCTATCAAAGGATCATCAGCAAAAGTTGTAGCATGATTTGATTCGCGGAGGATTTGTTGCAGGGCTTTATGGCGGGCCGCCCTGTGAATCCTGGAGCATAGCTCGCTGGGAACAACATACACACATGCTACAGCGTGGGCCTCGACCGGTTCGTTGTGATCCTGAGTTATGGGGGATAGGTAGCTTGTCCAAGCGAGAGGGGCAACAAGTTTCTATAGGAAATGTTTTGATGCTCTTTTGCTTGAAGGCTGTCCTTTTACAGGCCCTCACTGGGGGTTTTTCATGGTTGGAGCACCCCCGGAACCCTCATAAGGGTGGAACGCGACGCACCAGAGCGCCATCCATCTGGATGACACAGATCATTCGATGGTTCCATGAAACGAGGTTGTCTGTTTTCTTGGATGTGTTGCAAGGGTTCTTTGGAGCTGACAGCCCAAAGCCCACCACCCTTATGCTATCTGGGGTCGAGCTCACCGAAGTACAGCACTGTGAGGAATCCATGCGCAGTGCTGTATGTGCTCAGGGTTCAAACATCGGTTTAGAGGGAGGAAAATGGCGAACTAGTCATCTCAAAGAGTACCCGCCTGCCTTTTGCTCTTTTGGGGCCTCCCTCTTCCGATTATGGTTGAACCATCAGCCAGTCCGGACTGAAGTGTTCGAAGAAGCCACTGAGTGGCTCCGGAGTCTTGTACTGGCATTTGAAGACCAGGGACTCGCCGAACCCAGGCCGGACTACTTTGCAGGAAATTAGCGAATTCATTCAGCAAGACGCTGAGCTTGACGACGAGCACTGTGCGTCAATGGAAATGAAAAATGAAAAAAAAAGCTGCATATATACTCATTACAGATTACACCAAGCAGAAAGAAAAGCGTTCTTTCGAAGCAACCGTACGCTCGGAACCGAGGCTGAAGCTGGGAGTTCACATTACGTGCCTTTTCAATGCTTCCGGCGAGAAGTTGTGCCCTGCAAGCAAGAGCTTGTGGAGTTCGAAACCGTCAGGTCTTGTCAGGCCTCCTGAATCGGGCTGGCCTATGCAACTAGTTTGGGCACACATTGGTCCACGTGTTTTGACTTCAGAAAGCATGCAGTTCATGCTGTTCTGCGCATCTTGGCCGAATGCAATGGCCGTGAGGTCAGAGTTCCTGACACTGCCGGAAGCAGGAATTGACAATGGCGATTCTCTGCAAGCTCTTGTCATGGCCTGACTGCCCAGCATAAACATGCCTTCGGTTTGCATGTGACTAATGGTGTCTAGAGCGTCAACTCGTTCAAGATTCATAAAGATTTGATCGATTGAGTTTCAGGCGTGGTCCACTGTATTCTAAACACACCCGTGACTCATGTTTCAAGTAGTGTTGCGCGCCCACACACACAAATGCAGCTCATGAAGGTGTTCCCAGGACTGAAACTAAGCCGGAGATTTTGCGGAAGATTAGGATGTGTTGCTTGACACAAGTTTGACTACGATGTGAATGGATAGAGGGCACAAGTACAAGCTTCAATGAATGATTGATGCACCTATGAGCTTCAAATCCTACGTGCCAAGCCTTCTAGGCCCCAGGCTGCGTTTCCCTTTAAAGCTTTGTGCGCGCGTACCTCAGTTTAGGTTTAGGGGTCTCCTCCTCCTTTGCGCACTAGCATTGAGTAGAGTCCTTGAGGCATTGAACAGGTCAGCGTGTCTGTGACAGAGGCGTCGTCATACGCATTCCATTGCGCCTGCCCAATTGCCAACTGGCAGAAGTGTTCACTGAGGACAGTGCTCATACTTTCCGTCTGCAGCTATCATATTCTCAAGTTAATAAGTAACAAGATAAAAGATAGACAATCATGTTCACTAATTAGGGTCTTTTCAATCTACAAGAAAAATAGACGAGCGTTATCCCAAACGAGGTGTTAACAGTCCTTAAGTTCATAGGCCTGGTCTGGATGTCCTTCTCTCGGCATTCACTATTCAAATATTGGAGATTTATGAATAATTCTGTTTGTTTGGTTGAAGCTATCGCAGGATAGAAAGACTCAAGGACTCCAAGAAAACAGACAGTGGATAGCCAGACTAATGAACAGAAATAATACATGTTTGCCAATGATCAAGAACTGTTGCTTTTCCATATTTGTCCTTAAGCTTTAGAATCTGTGTTGATAGACAAATTATCACATGAAGAGTGCACGAAACCAGCCAATCAGTTTGGAAGAACCGCCACACAATTACAGGGGGTAACTGGGGGGTGGGGCCCTTCATACATTTGCAGGGTGCATGGACGGTTGCATGGGGAAGAATGCGACCCAGGCTGAAGGAAAGACTGTGTGTCAAAAGATCGGGATCACAAGGTCGATCGAGCCACCCACCCATTGGTTTGCCATTTTTGGGCCTGCAGGGCTCAATTTATGCCAGTCAAATAGACAGTGGAAATTAGGGAACTTAAGCACATGACCCGGAGTCACACAGTGCAAAGGGTTTCTATACACTGTAATACACATGTTTTTTTCCCAGCCTCGAATGCCATCACCTTGTGTTTGCCTCTGCTGCATCCTTGGGCTATCTTTGGGGTATTGGTACTCTGCGGATCCTTGCTTGCTTTTGCTTTGCTTCTGCCCTATAGCTGACAGAAATTAGCTAAAACAATTGAATGGCTGACATCCACTTTAATCACTGTGTGCACCTCGCATTCTTATTCAATGTTGGCACAGCGCACTTGACAGTGGTGCAGGATTGTCCATCAGCCGGAGCTTCTTCTTTCAAGTCTGAGTTGCCCCCATTTTGTTTGCAAGGAGTGCTAGCACTAAATGCACGCCGCCTTGCACAACAGTATTTTCTTTTGGGATGCTGTGCAAATCTTTCCCCACCTGTCGGCTCCTTTACCTCCTTTCGTTTCTTTTCCTTTGACAGTGCTTGGCTTTGCAAGCCTTTTTGGGTTCGCCTGGGGTTTGGTTGGGCATTGGAGACGGCCATGTTAAAGAGATTGCAGTGTCCTTGCAGAAGCGCAGAAACAGCTTCTGCCCTTGGGAGGGAATGCACTTGACATTCTGTGTCAACGGCTGCTGCCCAGGTCGAGCCCACTGACGAGGAGATGATTCAAGAGGCGCCTGTCAAGCTGACGGGCCAACGGGAACAACGCAGATGTGCTGTCCAAGTCTTGCCAGTGATTCGTAAACCAGGAGCGAGAAAGAGCTCCACCTGATGAAGAGTTGCAGACGTGGCCTTCAGGGTTTTTAGACATTCTGCTGATGGCTTTTGGATTGAGGAAAGAGTGGGTGAAGTCAAGCTTTGAGGCCAGATCTAGACAACCAGAATTCTAGAAGTCTAGAATGAAGGTCCAAAGGTCCCGAATGAGACAAGCCAAATCCAACAGCTAGCCACACAAACAAATCCAGACAATGCTTGTATCATTCACTCCCCAAATCAGCGTGTATTCTTCAGGGCATTGGTCCACCTGTCAGGCCCCCACCCCGGCCCGGGCAGCGCGAGGCAGCGCCTCGGAGTCAAGTGTATTGGGACTGAGGAACTGGTTTGTTTCGTTTCCGTTCTTCTCATGTTTGAAGCTGCAAATTGGAGGAGCACAGGAGGAGTCGGAGCTGCCATCAGTTTCCAGAAGGATTTGGTTCTTAAAGCCTCCCGCCCGTTTGCGGCCCCATGGACACCAATGGACATGGGAATCGCCCAGGCGCCTTGAGGTTTCCCCTGGCGGAGGCTGCCGACGGTGGCCACGGCAGAGGCGGCACACTTGGCCACCCTCGAGGCACACGCCACACGCCCTGTTGCCGATGCAATGTTTCTAGGGTTCTTCCTGCAGGTCAAAGGTTTGTTGGGGTATGTGTTGTTTCTTCTGAAGGTTGTCAATTGTCTCCCCAAAGCGCGTCAAAACTGCAAGGAGTGCGAATACAGAGACAACACAGGATTCCCAGTTCGCTGACAGGACATGTTTTTCCTCAAGAAGCAGAGCGCACAAGGGCTGGAAGCGTGCAGCCCCAGAACGCTCAAGGCAAACAAGGCGAAGATTTGATCTCTTGATTTGAAACAATGAACACTAGATCCCCTTGAGTTGCACACACACTATCATCGGTAAACCAAAGGGAACCAAAGGGTAATAGAAAAGGTAACAAAAGGGAGACTCACAAGGAATAAAGGAGAATGGTGGGATTCCGCTTTAGTTTTGGATTCCTAGTGGAAAGGTGTTTACAAATCACATGCCAAAAAGGAGAAATGCAAAGTAAACTGCGCCCCAGCAACAATCTTGAAAGATCTATACTTTGTTTAGTGGCGTGCTAATAGCAGCTTTGAAAGAGAAAAGGAACAAGCGTAGGCTCTACAGCACTTCGAGTGAAACACATATTCATAAGGAATGAACTTTGTGGAGATTAGCAACGCTAGTCGGAAGGCAACTTTGAAAGAGAAACGCAACGCTGACTTTCACGTCTTGTATTCCAAGCGCAAGAATGTGGAAGTGGCATAGTGTGGTTGTGTGGAGAAAGATATGCAACCTGTTGTCCATGAGGCACATATGATTTGGAGGATCCGCAGCAGCTGGTGCAATTCATCTTGGATGCCAACGTCGGTCTGATCCGCTTGGAATACTTGATGGAGCTGTGTGCCCGTGGCCAAAAACTGAGGCGCCGGCAGGAAACTGAGACAGAGATGACCAGTGCAAACCAGCCTGCCATTGTCGCCCGCGAAGAGCTTGCTAGCTTGGAGTACGATGAGATGGGCAACATCACCACTTTCATCAGGGATCCCAAGCCAAGACGAGTGAAGGTGACCATTGCGTCCATCTCACACGTGTGGGAAAGCATGGAACATCCAGATCCATGGGGCTTTCAACTGCATAGTGTAGTCGAGCGGTGCCAGCCCATGCTTGCTGAGGGCTTGGTGTGGATCTTTTTTGATTACTCCTCGCTGTATCAGTATGGAAACCGGACCGCCGCTCAAGAACAGGCCTTTCGCACTGCGTTAGAAGAGATGCACACCCTCTATGCCCACGAAGCAGTTCAGGTGCATATTTTGGACTGCCTGACGCCAAAAGACTGGCGAACTGATGGTGTGCTTCCAGTATTTGCCGAACGCCGAGGTCGTGTGACTGAGGTCGCGACAAAAAAGTTGAAGATAAACATCACACCTTATGCCAGTCGGGGGTGGTGCCAAGCTGAGCAACAGTGGGCGAGCTTGCGATCGTCCTTGAGTGGCTGTATCCCCTTGCCCCCGCACTTGTTCAAGAAAAGAATGGACCAGCTCAAGTTTACCCATAGAAGCGATACAGATGTTGTGGCCAAATTGCAAGCAAAAGTCTTTGAAGAAAAGGTGGCTTCCACCAAGAACTTAATGGTGGAGGATCTTGATGAAGAAGGACTAGAAGTTCTATGTGAAGCACTACCATTCTACAAAGACCTAGATGCAATTGTCTTGAATGGTATTGAACTTGGACGTGATGCCGCTCTTGCTGCAGCGGGAACTGACGCAACATCGATGCAGCTGGAGAGTTGTAGCCTGACTGATGCAGACATCATTGACATCGTTCAGGTTTTGAAAGGGTGCAAACGAATCAAAGAACTCCGCGTGGCAAACAACCATTTCGGTGACGAAGGCCAGAGAGCACTGGTGGAGCTTTCCTCAGTGAACCCGGGCCTGAAGATTGACGTTTTGCAATAGTTGCAGTAGAGCTCTAATCGTTTTGGCCACAAGTGCCAAGTGCTTTGCCAAAAAAGATTGGTCCTACAGGGGAAGCGCACGCTTGTGCTGCATTGTGCTGCAGGCCAAACCCTTTGCTCTTTGCTCCAATTTCAATGGAACGTGGCACTATGACCTCATCAATTCATGTGCCAGAGTGCATGGGGTTTGGTTCCCACTGAACATTACCACCATACTTCTTTTTGCCATCTGAATGAGAGCGAGATTGTTTGGAAGTTATTGTATTATGATAAGGTATGGCCGCAAAGCATTGAGGCAGTTATAAAGTTTGGCGTGGACATGTGGAATGGTGCCAACTAGATTGTTTACTGCACGCTTCATGAAGGCAAGTTGTAATTAAACTGGTTGGCTCACCGCAGACTTAACGAGTTGAAGAAGCTTGGGTAGGAGCTTCGTCGCAAGGTCACTCAGCTACAACAAAGGTGCTTAGAAAGGATTCCAAAGCACACACCCATGTACAATCTGGCTAGGTGTTGAGGCCAACAATATTGTTTTTGCCGGCTTGGGTGGTGACAAGAACTTAACACCCTGCTTTACGTGGCCGTTTTCAGATGGAATTTCCACTGCATTTGCTGCTGATGAGAACTGCAACAGTCCACATCAATAAATTTTCCATAACCATCAAACCTTTTAACATATACTAACGTGATTTAGTAAACCACCAACTTGACCTCTGAACACCAATCAAAGTCTCAATTGGCAGTAGAAACAGTTCCAATATGTTCCAATAAACTGTATCAGATCAATAGACGATGAGCACCGGCTGAAGACACCTCTGCTTCGGCCCAGTGCGCCAGCACTGCCTCGCCAGGCCGCGCGCGCGTCTCGGCATCCGGCGTGGGCGTGCCGTACGTGCGCTCACCACAGTGTTCGTGACGAAGCATGTCCACGGTGAGGTGGGTGTTGTTTGTGTGTTGATTTGGAACTTGGAAGAGACTTCCTCCTACTTGTTCTACCAGCTGGGTGTTGTCCTTCTAACGCTTTGGGACAACCGGCTGAACGGAGCCAGGGCTTTTCCATGAAGTTTGTAGCTTCATCCTGGGAAAACCACCAGAAGTTTGAGGCGGATCCTCTACAGTCTGCGGGAGTGACTGAAGCATATGATATAGTCTGCTTTGGCAGAAGGGAACACAGAATACAGAGTACAAATTCCACTCTGAATACCAACCAAAACACAGTTGTTTTTTTTTTTATTTCCTTTTTTTCCATCTGAACCCTCTGGGGAACCTCGGCGGAGCACCTCGACCGTCCGATCGCTCCCTCCCCAGCCCCGTCCGGTCTTGGACTCAGAATCGGTCCTGCCACCTGCCAGGAACCCGTCGATGGAGGCCGAGACCGGACCCGTAAACCACGTGCTTCGACGCGATCTGGCACGGCTCCGCTCGGGTCGCGTCGCTGTTGGACCCAACCAAAACGGATGGCCGTGTGGCTCAGCCAACAACAAGCACGTGCATTTCATGTTCTTTTTGGACCCAACGCCGCCACAACAAGCAGTGCATTTTATATCATTTTATCATATTTGACTGAGCTCCTTGTCAGATTCATTGGAGGTGGTGACAATGTGACAATGAACATTCTGTTGTTGTGGAAATCAGTGCTTTGACCTCATGAAACAACGGAAGGCCATCGGTAGTAGTAGCACAGCGTCTTGAAGTGGAGCCTGCTACGCTGCTACGCTAGGCCGATGAAGCTGAAGCAAAAGCATGTTGAGCCCTCAGATCTCAGTGGTTTCTCGCATCGATTCGCTTCAAGTCATTACTTGAACAAGAGGGGTTTGAGGTTTGAGTCAAGCGAAAGTCTTTGTGGCACATTCTTTATATAGGCTCCTGTGGTACATGCCAAGCAGACCAATTTTCCTAGGTGTTTCATGAGGGGTTTGGTTTGCATGCTTGCTTTTTGGGCGGGGTGTTGATTTCGGCTTACCCAGACTTACAGTCTGATGATGGAATCCATGAGATGAGATGGGATCCTGTGTTTGCAAGTGAGCTAAAGCCCAGGCCCCAGGAAGCCTGGGCTGTGTTTCGTTATCAACAGCCTACCCCGGACCTTCTAAGTATGGCTAGGGTGTGTCCTAGTAAGCCTGTAACAGTCGGTAAAGTTTATCTATCACTATTTTTCAAGAAGGATTTTTACTAGTCACCATCATTATCTACTAGGCCCTGGGAATGGGATATACCTAAAGTATGGCATATTTCCCTACAACGGCGTGATTTGAGGGGTCAATGTAGGTGTATTTGCAGTTGTCTTCAAGTTCCATGGAGTGTTTGGAGTCTGGGCACTTGAAGGCGTTGGCAACGTGGCTTGCTTGCTTGATCCGAACGGATCTACACCCGGTGCCGATCCAGGGCCCACAGAAGGAGAATCCACTTGGGCCAAGTGTGGATCTCCCAAGAAGATCTGTCGATTGAGTCACAGGATGTTTTATTTTCTTTTTCTTTCCCAACATCTTCCAAAGACCCAGTCTCCGAGGGGAGGGAATTCCTCATACTGGGACGACACCCACAGGCTTGCTTCTGATGGCTTTGCTCGCGCTCGGAGGGCTTCTTCCCGGTATTCACTGGAAGGTGAATCTGGGAGTGCAGCTTGGTTGAAATGTAACTCGTAGATGCTTCAGCCTGTTAGGGCAAGCTTTCTTGGGATTAGGCAGGGCTTAGAGAAGCTACCAACTGACGAGAACATCGGCTCATAGTGACTGCGCACACAGAGGGACACAATGGATTCCTGGTAAGGAAAACATTTTATTGGAACATGTTCTATTTGGAGGGGCCTCAAACCCTTCAATATAAGTATAAAATCATTTGCAAGCTTGTCACCATGTAACGCTGTTCAGGGAAGGGGGAGGTTAACGCATGCAAGTCGTCGTTGTGAAGACCCGTCAGAACAGATCCCCCCAACATCAGAGGGTCCACCTCCTACGTCCGAGGTGTCTCGGACGTTGGCTCCGAACGGGGCAAACGGGTCACCGGTGGTTCGTGGTCACCAACGGGTCACCCCAGTCGTGCTGGCGCAGACGTGGCTTCTGACGTGGGCCTTGTTTCAGCAATTTTCTCCGAATCAAGGATTTTCATCGGTCGATTCGCGCTGGGAAGCTTCTTCGTCTTGGTGAATCGACTGAGGATGTCCCTGTTTTTTTACTATTGGAAAAAGCGCTCGGTTCTCCATTGCGAGCTCGTAGAGATGGTCTATTGGGCGTTGATGTATGCTTGGCAGCTGGGACCGGTTGGGACCTTGTGGGTTCTTGCGCCGGATGAAACGGATTCACCCTGAGGGTCCCAAGAATTTGGTTTGGCACCTTAGCCCCTGGATCAGCTAGTGATAGGCTGAAGGGCCCTCTGAAGATTGCCGCCCTCTGAAGAAAGGCTGGTGTTCCAATGTTCTCATCCCGACTTGTGAAGTGAACAAACAGAAGGACCATGTGAAGCCTCATGTTCTTGCCTGTTCAGTGTGGGACCAGACCTCTGAGACTTCCGGTCGCTCCTCCGCGACGAGAGGAGCGAACCGTGTGAGGGAGGAGCTTTCTCTGAGCGCTCGGAGACCTTCTTGGCCGACCGTGGTCGTGTCGGTCTTTCAGGGACCAGACTCTTTCAGGGACAGTCTTGGGTTGGAGGGTTGGAAGAATACAGTAGACCAAGCATGGCGAACACCTCAAGCATGGCGTTCGTTGGTTTTCGTGAGCCGTAGGTCTTTCTCACCAGAATCCAAGGAACCACCAGAGACCCACGGCAGCCGAGAAATTCAAGATTCACTTCCCCGAGGTTTGGATATATTTTCATTGAACTTCATGCTCCTCGGCCCTAGACGCGTCTTCATGCGTGGCTCTTTGGGTATGGATCTCGTGGATGTCCCGCGGATAATGTTTGAGGGAGTACGGAGTACGGTGCGACGCTCCGGAGGCGTTCTCCGCTGAGAGGAGGCGGGGACGATGGCTCTTTGGCATTCTTCTGCGTCGAACGTTTTTAGATGTGCATCGACCAGCACCACATCGCTAGAGACAACCCCGGGCTTCTCTGGACGGTGTCTCACCACGATCAAACTCCAAGCAGGTCGAACACATGTTTGTTCGACCCCATTGGCCGGAAATCCCGTTTCTGAATCCATTGAACTTCTTTTGAACGCATCTTGAAATCCATTGGAAAACAATCTTGAAATCAGCTTAGACATCCATCTCATCGCCCAAGACGCTCAACAATGTATTCCCCCAAAACCTGAGGATTCACCCATCCTTCAACTTGGGGCCTTCAAGTCGATCTTTGGATCTTTGGCTGACTTGATCATCGCACCTCGGCACCTGACGCCGTCGGGCGGTTTGGGCCGTTCTTTTTCGTGGGCCGTTCGGCACAACCCGGGTGGGTGGGTTCGCGACGCGCGGAGCTCCGTTGGGGGTTTGGGGAGGATGATGGGTCGGAAGGTCGTGTGTTCTTCTTGTTTTTCTATATACTCTATTTCTATTTCTATTTGGTTCCTGCAGGAACAGGTGAGGGTCGTGAGATTTGATGTCAGATTTTCTCTTCTTGGGACCCGGGGGAGGAGTTTTCCTGCGTGCATGGGCTTTGGTGACAATTTGGACTGTTTGGAAGATTTAGGAGGGATGGAAGAGCCCCCCTCATTGTTGGATTGGATTCGGCAGCCTTGAAGAGGGCATGGTGGTTCGTCATGAACGGTTCTCTCGAATGCGTTGATCGGTGGTTGGGCCATCTTGTCCTCAAGTCGGGCGGGTTCGGTCGCGCTCCCATGCGGTGCGGCGCGTGCGCTCGTACGCACTTCGTGGAAGCGTCGGGCGTCTGCCGCGGGTGCTCGACTTTGCGTAAGCTCGCCAAGGAGTTGAGGTTTCAGCCTCATTCGAGGCTGGAGGCGAGGCTTGCGATCGCTTGGCTCGAAGCGGCCCTCCGAGGACTTGAGATCCTACGAGACGAAGGTCATCTTCAAGAACAACACGCCCCTAGAGACGCTCCAACAGGTTTGACTTCAATCAGCGAGGGGCTTAGCAGGAGGCGAGGATCTGAGGCTGAACCTTCGACCAGGAGCCGAGGTACAGAGCGAGAAGAGGCAGCTGAGGAGAGAGCAGAGGAAGGAGAGGGCCGCAGGAGGAGAGAGAAGAAGCGCGACCGTGAAGGTGAGCGTCCAGATGGCCGGAGGAGGCGCAGAGGATAGGCAAGTGGATGATGCCCTAGGCTGGTTTTCCCTGGAGGATAGGGAGAGATGGATGTTGATGGGAGCCGCCAGAGGGAGGATTGCAGTAGTTGGTATAAAGATAGAAGAGCAGAGAGAAGAGCTCCCTGTTTTCATCCTCGAGCACAAGGTGTTGGCAGACGGCAGTTTGGCTTTGGGGGTGACTTCATTGGGGACCCGAGATCCGAAGGTATCCAGGAAGTTGACGAACCTGAACAAGCTCCTGCCCGACATTCATGTTTGCATAGACTCCCCTTGTTCGGTAGCTGGAAACTTCCTATGTCATTGCGAACAGTTAGAGTTGTGGCATGCACCGAACTTCAATGGAGCCGAGAGGCTGGGAGGCACAGGCAGGAAGCGTTGGGCTCAACTATGCATGGAGATCTTTGGGATCGACGTGTACGCCTTGGAGGATGTGAGAGCAGGCCGAGGTGCAGAGGAAGAGGAAGAGCGTGCAAGCGCCTTGAGAGAAGGAGGGATTCTAGGTCAAGGAGATCGAGGAAAGAGGCAGCGAGATGCTCATGTCAGCTTCGTTGGGGACGACGTGGACTTTCCTATCGAAGTGCCAGGAGAAGATGTGAGGGCAGAGGTTGCAGAGGTCAAGAAGAGGAGAGAGGATGGAGGAGACAGAGGACGTGGCAGTGCACCCAAGTCCCCAAGGCAAATCAATTCCGCCCTGGAGGACTTGTGATCCAAGTTGAAGGAGAGTCTGAAGAAGACCGACAACGCTGCACCCACTGCCCGTGGCTCAGAAGGATCCAAGAAGCGAGACGCCGAGAGCTCTGCGCCAGTCGAGAAGAAGAAGACTCCTGGGCCAAGGACCTTGGAGTTGGAGGTACTACATCGAGCAGCAGGAGAGGCGCGTGCCCTGGAAAGGCCTTGGTCGCAGCCGCATCTCAGGCAGCAGGCGAGACCACAGATGGCAGTTCGAGGAAGAAGAAGAGGAAGAAGGATGCTGGAGGCAAGATCCTCTCGTTGCTGAAGAGTGCATTGAACAAGAAGGAAAAGAAAAAGAAGAGGAAGAGGAAGAAGGATTCAGAGGAGAAGGACGGAGGCTCTCCCTCAAGCGGCGGAGGATCGGACGCCTCGGACGACAGCGAGGACGACGATGGAGGGAGCTCAGACTACTCGACAGAGGACGAGAGAAGCGAGGAGAAGAAGGCGAGAAGGCTTCAGGCACCTTTGAAGCGGCGCAGCCAAGAAGAAGAAGGGGAGCGTGATCACGCTCTTGCTGGAACAGATAGCCGAGCAGCTACCTCACTCGTGGACCCAGAGTGGGAACCTATTGGCAGGTGACACTACGGCAGAGGATTTCAGCCGGCCATCCAGCCCTACGCGAATTGTACCTCTTGGCCGCCGTGATCGACAAGGTACGTTCAGGCCACCTCCTCGAGGCATTGGATGCCTTGGCCGGCCGCTTTATTGCGGTAGAAGCCGCAATACAGGACGGGTGGAACATCGCCAAACACCTCGAAGTCGCAGTCCCGTCCGACCAGGCCATTGCGTTTACAGAGCTTCAGTTGGCGGCGCAGAGACACAACAACATGGTAGCCAAGGCGCACGGACTAGAAGGCAAAGGAGCCTGGAGGATTGGAGGAGGTCGCAACTGGCAAGGAGGAGGGAAAGATAGAGGAAAGAGCTGCCTTTCCGCACGTTTGGTCCCGCTTTTGGAAAACAAGTTGAGTGGAAGTGTTTTTGAAGATTGCTTCAGGGACAGCTTTTGGGGGGAAGAGGACTATACAGATGCTTGGGTCTTGTGTTCCGTCAAATTCTGTCAACTTATGTATGGGGGGGGTCAGGGTTTGCGCGTGGTCGAGATAAGAAGGTTCATTGGGAATCGCTGAGAACCATTCGCCGACGGGTTGAGAACGTGTTGAAAGAGGCTGACCCCCACTACGTTTGGACAGTCCAGCACATCAAGAATGATTTGGACTCCAGGGACATTGGATATGCTGGTGAGGAGGTAGGAAAGGTAGAGGTGTTAAGTGCCGCTCAAATCCTTCCCTCAGTTCCCCCTGCTGGTAGAGGAGGCTCCATTCGATTGATTGACTGGGTTAGCCCTTCCACCAAACGTTTGCTTGAGTCCCCAGAGCTGCTTGAGATTGAGGACAGAGGACAGGAGATTCCGAAACTTCAAGGACGAGTACACATAGCGCCAGGGGAGAAAGAGAAGGTAGCTAAACTTTTGGTAGAACGGGGTGGTGTCGTGAGTCGGAGGTGTTCACCTTTCGAGGTATCCCCGTGAAGAACGGCATGTTTGGTGTCGTTAAACCGGGGCGCGCAGTCAATGGAGTGGAAACACTCCGAGTCATCATGAATCTCATCCCAAGTAATGCTCTCCACAAGGTGATTGAGGCCTCGGTGCATCGACTACCTTCCATCTCACAGTGGACTTCTATATTCTTGGGACGCCAGGAACACCTTGAGATCAGTCAAGCAGACATCACGTCTGCTTTCTACTTGTTTGAACTCCCAAGCTGTTGGTGTAGGCGGCTGGCGTTCAATCTAGATATGAAAGGAAAGGACATCGGGCCTGACTTTGACGCAGACACCACCTACACCCTATGCGCAAGGGTACCCCAATGGGGGGATGACCTGTTACGGGCTATGGTGGCCCGGACTTTAGAAGCGGAGGATGTCAGTTTTGGTGCTTTGCTCCTCTTGGGGTACTTCGGGCTGCTGCGGACCGGTGAACTGGTTGCTTTAAGGATTGGAGATATTCGAGTGTCAGAGGCTTCCCCCAAAACTAGTGCACGGCGAGGTCAAGGAGAGCATGTTGTGATCCGGGATACCAGTGTTATTCAGTTCATTAGGTGCCTTCTCAGGCTCCGGACGGCGAAGCATGAGGCCATTTGGAGTTTCTCGCCACAAAAGTTCCGTGATCTTTTCGCTGACTATGTCAGCTTCTTCCGTTTGCAGTCGTACGGATACCGTCCTTACTTGCTTAGGCGAGGCGGGGCCACTCGGCTCTACCGCTTGCAGACTCCCATGGGCATCATTTTAACCCAAGGGAGATGGAAGACTTCTGGCTCAGCCCGTACCTATATTGCGGACGGCGTGACAGAGTTGGGTAGGCTGAATTTGAAACCCCGGACTTTAGCTCTTTTTGCTCAGTTCCATGCGCTTGTTGGCTTCAATTCGCCTTGATGAAATCAACGCAAGCTGGAATTTCTTCCAGGGAAGCGTGGAAAGGTAGATGACCCAGAGGTGTTTCCTTTTGAAGTTTCATCATTTGCTGTAGTGACCTCTGGCATGAAAGAGCACGAACTTCCGGTCCTGCCACATGGACCGTGTGGGATGTTGAAATCTGTGCTCTTCAGGTTCTGCCACATGAACCTTGATGGTAAAATAGAAAAGTGCCTGAGGAGGAGCACTTCAAATGCCATGAGGCACTGCAGTTGTGAATGGTGACGAAGTCACAAGTGAAGTTTGCAAATGTTTCGAGCTAGAAGAGAGTGGAGTGATCTGACAAATCTGTGATTTTGGGAACGATGACGAGTTTTGGCCATCCAGCAAAGTGGCCGGGTGAGGGACAACACCACCAGATGCTCTTTGTGGATTGATAGTTCTTTTTGGTTTCCGGGAATTTTGGCTCTTGTTTCTTCTTGATGCTTTCTATGTCTCTTGCCGTGATCAGGAATTTTGTGGTCTTTTTCGGTGTCTAGTTTGTGATGTGTGGATTTTCGGCTGGCTTTGTGTTTTGTGTGGCTGGGTCATCCATTAGACATCTTGGTGTGAACACCAGTCACCTCCGGGGTGATGTTGGTCATTTGGATGTCTCAATATACTGGGGGTCATGTCAAAGCCAAACCATTAACATGTCAAAACCCAAGCATGATTTTGTGATGCTCTTGGATAGTCCGTATTCTATCAAAACGTCTCGGTCGGGGATGCATTTTCCCTGGTCCCGTTCCGAATCTCTTCCGCCTCTCGTCGGTGAAAAACAGGACCCCCAAAGGCGAAGCCATGAAAATAGCCGGCGCTGAGGCATGTGTCTTCAGCCTTTGTGGGGTTTGGGCCCATACCACGGCTCAGAACGATCGGCTTCAATCCTCGATCCAGGTGCGTTCGGTGGTCCAACGCCGAATTCCGGGGTTGGAAAGGGGTGAAATTCGAAAGTCAGCCTGACAGGAGCTGTGTCATGCAACAGTCTCAAGGATGGTGTCGCATTTGTTATGGCCGGTCACTGGTCAGCCTTATTATCTAAATCACAAGGTTTTTTTCTTGAAGGGGTATCGGATCCTTTATCAGTCCTCCTCATCGAAGCCATCATCCACTGTTGGTGATGGGGAAATGCTTGAGCTAGCTGAGCTCATGTGAGCCATCCGCAAATGATCTGTAAAGGCACAGGAAGATCTATTGACCCCACCTCTGTCCTCAAGCCCTCGGTCGAAGTAGTTGGTAGCGAAGTAGGGTGGAAGCAGGTTTACGAATTGGGGCGCACTTGTCAATTGTGTCAAACGGGAAGCTCCCTTTAGTCCAAATTCCTTGGTTTCATTTGTCCCTCCTGTGTGGCATCCATGACAGGTGGAAGGGCGGTTCCAAAATGGTTTGAGTCCCTGGAACCAGTGGAATTGTCTCCTCCACTCTCGGACCTGATCTTCTGCACCCCAAAGACACTTGTTTAGGGTCCTTTTGGCGCGGGGTGGAATCGATCCGAAACTTCGTTTTGGCCAATACTCCTTGGACTCCTTGGCCTTTCCGGGAATAAGAAAAAACGAGGGTCAGATCCGCTTCGACCGGTCCGGAGTGCAGGAGCTCGACCTTCGGATGCTGGTGGATAAGCAGCATGTGGAGACGGGTGCCTCGCGTTTCACCGTCTATTGTGCCTTGCGCAGCATAGTGAGACGGCGGGCGGACGAGTCGGGGTTCCGGAATCCACACCCCGGGTTTCGTTTTCTAACCCCGGTTTCCAAGCAAACCCTGTGAATTCCACGTGTTTGGTCTGACAGGGCAGGAGGAATTTGCTTTTAGAATCTTTTTGAGTTTCTTTTGTAGAAATCAGGATCGATGCTACAGCTTCCTGCTTTGCCACCATTAGCTCTTTGTGATCGAGTAAATCACGGCCACGCTTCCTCCTTGAGTCAACATTGCTGATCAATCAGTTCCAAGATCCAATTGCGCGCGAAGTAGAAACGAGGAACACCATTAATTGCTATATATTGGTCACTAGAGGCTAGTTCTACGTAGCTCACACAGGACCCATCGGGCCTCTGCTGAAAACTCACGTTACTGACTGTCTTCACGTACGGCTTCCTTCTTTTTCGGGTGCAACTTGTTGGATCATTTCTAGTCTAGGACAACGCCCGGTTCAAGTTGGAATTGGAGATTATTCACACGCGGGTAACGGAATAACAACGATCTGTATACAGGCTAAGAGTGATCCAGGCTAAGGGTCGGTCATTGGACACTCCTTAGAGGGTCCTGGTATAGTATCGTTTAGCCGATATATAGTCATAACTCTCCAACCTTCGCGTCTCTGGATCTAATTGATGTATTCAGAGGTTCGACGGCGCAGACCCCATTGATGTCTTTCCAGAGGTTCGATGGGGTTCTAGAGTCTATCAAAAAGACACCTTTCTACGCCGGGGGACGTGCCATCGAACCTCTCCTCCTGTGCACCTCCCACGCCTTCAATCGCTCCAGGTATTCAGAATCTTATTAGCCAGCGGAGTACCTCTTCGGGTCAGCTGCAACGGCTGGTCGGCCACTCGGGCCGACCCCTTCGGGTTCACAACAACAAGCGGGCCGGGCCGCACGTCACGGGACCGGCGCCTTCACGGGACATCTTCAGAGAGACGTCTTAAGAGTTCCAAGGTTGACGGTTTTGACGGTTTGGCTTCTGCATTTGGGGTTTTGAGTGCTTTTTTTGGTGCTTTCCACTAAGTGTGCTTTTCTAGTGGTTGGCATCTGGAGCTGCGGCAATTACTTGGAAGGTCACTTTGGGTTTGGTTTCGTTTGGGCTGGAACATCGGAAGTTTAAAGCTGCAGCCATATGAATTTTAGAAGGCGTGCGACTGGATTGGATGGCCCATTTTCCCACCAACTGCGTTCCCCGCGTCCAACTTTGACTCCCCCAACCTGGCGCAACCAGCGGGAAGTTGTTGGTCCATCAGTTGAAAGGGACTCGGGTAGCTGCTAGCCAGGGCGTTCTGGGTGATCACGAGGACTAGAGAAAGGTGGACAAGGAACCCTGCTGGGAAACAATGCAAATCCTCGAACAGCTGGTGTTTCTGATTGGGCTGGGCCCTTCGTTTTACCTCGGACAGTCCAAGCAAGTGGGCTTTCAGCCGGGGGGGTCTAAAGACCAAGAATCCAAAGTATCTGGATCGACTTTCAACACCCAAGCAGTTTCATATGTGCTTCACAAACCTCCTGCAGATCCACAAGTAGACTCCACACTATCTGGACTATTGCTTTTCCGGGGGTCCATCGCGGGGGGTGTGCACACTCACCGGTGTGCTCGGGTTGGGCCTCCGGCTGAGGAAAGCTTAGAGAGATGGCCATGGGCACGATGCATTTGCTTGAAGAGGAGGCACCTGGGTGGCTGGAAGAGACCTTTTTGCCTCGGGAAGATCCTTTTCCAAGCTCTCCAGTGATTGGGAACTCTTTGTTTAGAGAGAGGAGTGTAAGCTCAGCGGCTTGGCACCCCCCTCCCACGCAGCTTCACAGTTGTGCCTCAAACAACTCCAAGCTCCGACTGTGTACCGAACCCGTCGAGCGGGTTTCTACAGGCAAGAGCTCCGCCACGTCAGTGCCTTCCCAGAGAAGGGTTCGACACCGGCATCCACAGACCTCCAGGTGACCTCCCCTGATATGTGTGACCTCCCTACGCGCCACATGACTCCCCCCCGTGGTCCGTATGCTTGAGGACTTTTTGGGCAGCTGGTGAACCTGTCTTTTAGTACTCCTTTTTGCCAGGGAGATGGAGAACTTTGGCGAACAGATGGTGAAACATGAACATGCGTGTCAGAGTGAATTGAGTAAGCTCGCGATCCTGGAAAAAACCGAAGCTGAGGGTGAGTAGCATTGGACGACCAACATTGGTTGGGTCAAACAAAATCTCATAGACTCACACTTGCGCTGGTGTTCAGATTCTTGTCGGTCGCCAAGTCATCCTAGTTCTTGATGATCAACCATTCTCTCCCAAGTCTAGAACAAAGGCTACGCCCCCCGGGCCACCACGCTTTGGCGTTCTCGAGGTCTTGCTAGCCCTTGAGTCCTGCTGTCACGGCTCGGATGGTACGCCCGGGTTTCCCAGGCGGTTCCCACAGCGTTGCTGTCGAGCCACGAGGGATCGAAACAGGGCGGGCAACCCGGGCAAGGCTTCGTCGGTCAACCAACCTCATCCACCGTTCGCCATTGGCCATTGGTGTACGACAGCGTTCGAGGTGCGCCTTGTCGTATGCGGTCTATCCACCCATTTGAGCAGGTCATGAGGTCCCACAGGTCCGGCGATGGAAGGGGACCCTCACAGCTGCCTCTTCTCGGTAACAGGCAAAGGTGACCCTCTCATGCATCAGGCTCTCAGCCTGCGGGGAAAAAGGGGGTTTGGACAGATTTTGCCGGTGTTGCGGCACGCACTGGTGTTTGTAACGATTTGCAATTCTTCACTGCCCTTTGGAAGAACTGTGATGATCTCCATCGGCTTTTCACCACGATCATCCACCATCGGATCTCGCACTCCTTCAGCCTTCAGTGGGTCACCGGGGGTAGCCCAGGTCACCTCCCGACGATTTGCTCTACGTCCTGAACTGTTCAGAGGTTGACTTACCTCAATTCTTAGCCTTGACCAGTCCAGCGCTTAGACCACAGTCACTGGCGCTTAGTCCGTCCCAGGCTTCTGCCGGGCGCGGACGACACAGCGTCACGGCGGAGCTCCACAGAGCTCGCTCTCCACGTCCGCGTTGGGCGTCGCCAGCGAAGGGTTCAGGTGGATTTTCTCGTTCCTCAGAGACGCCTCCCTTTCCTTTGTGGGAGGGCCGGGGGCGGAAAGGGCGTCCTCGGGTGGATGAAGCCCCTCTACCAACGACGAGCCCCGGCGCTCCGCCCGGGCTCGGGCTCCGCCACCCACCGAGCTCCGCCAGCGCCAATTGGCGCTGAACGGGGAGATCAGCCGTCGACCCGACCGAGGTAGCGATCAGGTGATCCACCTCTTCCGGAAGCACGTGATGCACATGGACACCGTGACCAAGACGCGGCTGGTGGATGCGCTCCAACGGCAGCACGACTTCTACGCGAACCGGTGCCTCGACCGACGAGTCCGCGCGGTGGAGGCCAAGCCCGGTCGACAGTGGGAGACACACCGCGGGTGAGGGTGAGGAGGCCGGCCCCACGCACTGGTAGTGTTTGTTTTGGTCCAAAGCCTCAGGGACTCTTTTGGAATCTTCTCGTACTATTCAGATGGGTTCCGATGGGTTCCGAAAAGCAACCTTTAGATGACTCAGAGATCTGGTATCCAGTACTTGCCTATCGCTCTACCCCAGTCCGCGCCCTCTGCCTATCTACCCAGCTTCCGAGGCTCCAACAGGAGTTGGTGGTGGAGTTGCTGGAGAGCACCACTGGGGACGAGCTTCGGATGCCCCTCGGGCGGCGAACGACGCGCCCAATGTGGCCGGCTGAGAACAGGTTCGATGTGACTTCAGAGGTGAAGTATGGCACTGGCACCACTGCCCCAACAGGTCTATCCGACAGATGGGGGTCCCCAGAAGCCACCGACATTGGGGATCATGCCATCTACTCTCAATCCACTATAGTTTGGTGGGGAACGTCAAGAGAGCTCATCATACAGTCATGGCGGATTTGGAAGGACCGCCGACTTTGGATGATAGTCTTTTTGGCAAGAGGTTGTGATGCATGAATACAGTATCATACATCCCATTATTCCCATTGTGCAGAATGGTCGTTGTCGTTGATTAGTTGATCCCATCGATAGTTGATCCATGGGGAGCATCGATCTGGACTCCAAAATTCTCGGGGTGTCTTGGCAGAAGGAGCCCTCTTTAGACCAGTCTTTGTGGTGTGGGAAAAGGTGGTTGAACCACCAAGTGCCTCCCTGGACTGGACCAAGCTACCAGGTATCGAAATTGGATTTCATGACAACTTTGGATCTTGGGTTCCACGACCTGGAACGTGATAGAGGACCTGGCCACAGCTCGAAAAAGCCTGGTCGTCATGGGTCTGTTGTTCAACAGGTTCATCAACCAAGTGGTTCATCCTGAGGATGAAAGACATCCTGGACGAGGGTGGAGACTTTTACAACCTACACAAGCTGGTCTTCCACGATCTGGACCCTGAGATGTGCCATGGCCACCGCTGAAGCGTCGTTCTTCGCCGCTTCAGTCGGTCCCACGGACGGGTGTGGGGGTGCGGATCGATCGGCGGAGGGAGCTCATTTGGTTTCATCTGGTTAGCACTTGAGACCCGCAAAGCGGCCCAAGAACTGTCTAGAGGAGGACCATTTGGAGGGTGCTGGTAAGAGTTGTCACTCATCGAAATGTGGCACAGGTGTGAGTGCCAAGTGGCCAGGCCGCTCCGGAAATGGATATATATATATATATGCTTTCTATCCCTAAAGAGATGTGAGCTTTCACCGCTCAAAGTCTTTTGGTTCAAAGCCCCGGTCGATGAGCCTGACCTTGGCTCTTGATTTCCTTCGAGAGCTTCGTTGGTCCTGGCCTGCCTACTGCAGTTCTTCTGGCAGAAGCCTTCCTCTCGTGCTCCTGCTGGTGATTCTGGCTTGGTGCCTAGGCTGCTGTTGAGCTGGGCTATCACTGGTTGCGCTGCCGCTCTTGTGGATCCAGTTCCCCAACAGGATTCTCTGCGGCTAGGGCAGTACCGAGCGGTGCATGGGGCCTGAGCGCAACTTGGAGCAGCTAGTTGTGGAATTTGGCGATCTCAGGAAACGAGTTGAAAGAGCTGGAGGCTATCAAGCGGACGCAGGCAGTGCAGCAGCGTCCTCGACTACAGGACCCCCCCTTCAGGGTGCCCTGCCAGGCCCAACACGGGCCACCGTTGGGCAGAGCTCAGCGACTTCAGCAGCTGCTTCTGATCCTGGATCTTGGGAACCTGTTGTGGCTGAAGGTTCATCCTTTGCACCTCACACTCCTGAGTGGGAGAGGGCCCTCATTGCAGCCCTCAGAGATCGAGGGCCTTGATTTGAGCCCAGTACCTCGCATCCGTAGCAGCAGCAACGGCTGGAGCCCCTTGGGCCTCTGGGTCGAGCATTGAGAGCAGGAGTGCAAGCTAAGGAGAAGTTGGATCGTGGTCGTTGCTCAGCAGGAACTACCTCAGCTTTGACCTTGCCCTCCAAGATCTACATCATCCTGGAACCAGCCCCCAGCGGCAAAGCCGGTTGGACCGACAACTATTTGACCTTCAGAGATCAAGTACTTGGGCGTCACGGTGACATCCACGGAGACGCAGTGTGCCACGCCTTCCCCTCGCGAGCCGAGGCGGAGGCATACCTCATTGGTGCTCAGTGGCCATGGCCGGCGCTCCTGCGCCGACCTTAGACGAGTTGGGGCTTCGAGCCCTGTGGGATTCTGTCCCTCCCGCAGGGCAGCTGCCAGCTCTTTTCTTGGTCTTGCCGGCCAAGGAAGATGGGACAGGGCTGCGGGTCACCGCCTTTCTGGTGAGGGTTCGCTCCGGAGGCTTCATGGTGGCTTTGCCAGATTTTGTCGAGGTCTCCCAGTTTTTGAGAGAGCAGTGGACCACCGATGGGTCAGAGGCTTGCGCTATCTATCCAACCGAGGTCCTCATGGAAAATCCTCGTGGAAGAGTTCTCACAGAAGGCCCTTGTGCTCTGGTCGATTTGGTTTGGGAAATGGCTCGCCTGTTCATGCGAGCTCATCCGTCGAGGAGTTCAAGCACCTTCGAGCTCTTGCGATTTTGCCTTGAACGACCAGCCTTGTCGCCCTCGGCGATCAGCCTTGCAGGCCGTGGCCGAGCACTGGATTCACGAGGTGATGGACGACGAACGGCTGGAGATTACGTGACAGGGCTATCAGAAGAGGAGCTCCTTGCGGAGGAGGATCAGGCTGGTGCAGGAGGAGGTGGTCCACAGCATCTCGATGCTTTGCAAAGAAGAGTGGCAGAGCCTGGCAGGGGCAGCCCCTGTGAGGTTGGGGGCAAACGAACAAGCCCAAAGGGCCCAGAGAGACTAGCGAGCTCGAGGACGGCATCAGAGATCTGGAGGCCACAGTTCAGGATCCAGTCCAGCGGATGCTTCTTCTTCAGATGCAGCAGCTCTCCCTCCTGACACGGCAGCAGCAGCAGCAGCAGAGGCACGATCTCTGCCGCTCTGGCCAGTGCAGGGATCAAAGGATGTATGGCCAGGGAGGCCTTCATCCGCCTGATGGAGGACTTGCCCAAATACTCCTCTGTTGTGATGGCAAATGCGGCTCGCGAGCTGGGAGTAGAGCTATCAAGTGTGGGCCCAGGGCTCATGCGAGACTACATCGAAAAACACTGCCCACTTGGAGACAATCGCCATCTCACACAACAAGCATATCTCTGGGCATTCGCCTGGGAGACCGGGTTCCGCTCCAACAACGTCGAGCTCCTGGCCACTGCAAGTCGGGGACTGGTCTACACAGATCAAACGGCTATGGACTTCAACAAAGCAAAGTTGAGCTGGCTTCTCACGGCCTTGCCAGACTCTCAGTACAGCGCCTTGGCCAATGCGAGCTGGGTTGGGGCCAACGTGGCCTTCATGAAGGATTTAGATTTTCTGGAATCAAAGATGAAGGCCGCCACAGGCCCTGCAAAGGGAGCCACACCTCAAGACGAAGGTCACGAGGAAGCCACTTCAAAGAAGCCCTGGAGGCCGAAGAAGAAGAAAGCCAATGCTGGCGCGACCACATAAGGGTCGACTGCCTAGATGGCATCGTGAGCACTCCGTCACCCACTCCTCTAGTCCCCTCTTTGCCGGGCTGTTCTACGTCAGGACGGGGGGCTTGTAGCCGCACTGTCATTTCCGGTCGGGAGGCGGCGGGGGGAGGTTCGGGTGGCATTTTCAATGGGGTGCCGAAGGAAGACAGGCAGTCCGGCCATGAGCCGAGAGAAGGAAGCTGCGCCGTTCAAAGCATGAAGCTAATCCTGGACTCCACCACCCCCAGGCGGCCAGTTTCCAGTTCCAATTAGGTGCACCGAGATGGTGACAGCAATTGCTATGGCAGCGGGGTCTGGTTCAGATCTTGCTCATTTTCTCCACCGAAGCTGTCACCCAGTCCGCAATGCTTGGGCCTTGCAGCCGCGAGGCGATCTTTGGCCTTGTCCCCCTCCGAGGCGATGGACGGCCGACACTTCAGTTTCTCCAAATCCCAGAAGAAGGCGACGGCTTCGCGACCTCCAAGCTCGAGCTATCTGCGTCCAGAGGCTGATCATCACGATTAAGTGGCTGGCGCTTGGACAATGCAGGTCTCCTCCTGAGTATGCCCGGGCTGGCTTTCCTGCTTCAGCCGGCCAAGTAGCTATGGTTGAGAGGCTCGAAGATTTGGTTGACTATTACCTGGGTTCTGGTGATGTAACCCTGGATAGTTTGGGTAGAGCCGGTGAGAAGTTGAAGAATTTGAATGCAGCCGCCTTTACACTCCCGAGTTTTTCCAAGGAGTTTGAATTCAATGACCTTGCTAGTTTTTTAGATCTCACTCAATCCTCTTTGATTCGTATTCGCACCCTCGAAGTCGGAATACCGGTGGCTCAGACGAAGAGATCTCTGGCACAGGCTCTGCCCAGGACACTCAGGGTGGGACTCACCCACAAAAGTTGTCTTTGAATGCTTGCACAGCCCTGCCAGTTCAGGCTTCTAGAATAAAGTGGAAGCTTGCTCCAAGTTTTGATCCCCGGCCCTATCTGACTGACCCCATCATCCAGCAAGCGTTCGAAGACCCTGAAGTGTTGCGACGGCCTATGACCGACTGGCCAAGAGTTGCTAAAGCAAAAGTTCATGCGTCGAAGAAGGAGGTGTTGGCGCTGGCAGAGAAGTGGGACCAGTTAGGGGCTTGCAAGCTGGTGTCATGCGATGGTGTGAACCCGGTTGAGACGGTTCCCAAAGACGATGAGTACGACCGGCTTATCTTGAATCCGAGTGTTGTGAATTCTAGATCGTATTCGAACTACACCAAAACTCTTGCCCGCGGATATCTGGTTTCATGATCACGCTCGCCGACGACGAACAGCTTTTGATATCCTCCGACGATTTGTGTGAGTTTTATTACACTTTTTTGGTTTCTTCAAAGAGGGCTCAGCGCAATGCAATTGGTATCAAGTACCCCGCTTCAGAGGTTGCTCATTTACAATGCTTTGATCCTTCAATACACCCAGGTTCATTGTACTTGTGTTTGGGAACCTTGGCAATGGGAGATGCTTTGGCGGTTGAGATCGCCCAACAATCCCACCTAAACCTGTTGCGGCTACGGGCTGGTTGCATGGTTCCTGAAGAGTGCTTGCAATACAGGTGTCCAATCCCCCGTGGCCCTTTCTACGAGTTGTTGACCATCGATGACCATATCAGGCTGCAGAAGGTCAAGAAGAGTGGGGATTGGAGCCTGAGCCTGCATTGCAATCGTGATGAACAGGTCAACGGCGTGAACCACATGCCACAGTTCCGGGCGCCGAGGACGATGGCTGTCGTGGCCATGTTTCAGCCCCAAGAGCAAGGATCATGCTGCTGAGCTTCATCACGTCTGTCCTAGTTCACAAACGGTTCGCTACCAAACAACTACTTCAGGGGCTACTGGGTTGTTGGACTCATATCTTTTTATTCAGACGGCCTGTATTTGCAGTATTAGATGCTGTTTACAATGAAGGCAATGGTTTGAAGCAAGATGTAGTTTTCAAGCTCTCCAGGGCTTCAAAGAACGAGTTGATGACCTTGTGTCTCCTTGCACCAGCAATACAAACAAACATGCGAACGCATGCACACCCTCAGCTCTTCATGATGGATGCTTCGCCGTACGGCGCTGGGATCTGTCGGACGACGCTTTCAGCCGCAGCTACCGACGAGCTGTGGAGGCGCTCGGAACAGAGGGGTTATTACACTCGTTTGCAGGAGGGTCCTGGGCTAGCGCTTCGTGAGTTAGGGCTGGAACATGAGGAACAGTTTGGACAGCCAGATCAGGAACCGTTTGTTGTGAAGCCGCCCACAGAAGCAAAAACGGGTGATGGTGCAGCCCAAACCAAGCAATCTCTGAAATGCAGACATTACCGAAGACCCTGGCTGCTCACAAGACACGTAAGCTCCTGCTTGAAGAGCCAAGGTCAACAGAAAAGCTGTCCGCACTGCTAAAAGAGTCTGCTCCTTAGTCACGGCATCTTCAAGATCAAACCCAGCTGGCTCGGATTTGGACCTAAGCCTGGGCCTTCTCAATGTACCGAAAGACCAGCGCGGGGGTGCTGCATGCCACTCTCCTATTGCTCCATTGTATCCTAGGGTTGCAAGATCACGGAATGTCTGCTTGTTGGAGAGGTCACCGTAACCTCTACCTTCAGCCGCTCGCTCAATGCCAGGATGCACTCTAAGGCCACATTGTTTGTGGCAAAGGCTCCAGTTTCCCTGACCCGCAAACAATTCGATGCAGTCAAAAACTTGAGTCCTGTCTTTGAGAGTTCGGCTGAACTTCTACTGTTCTGCTTTTGGTTCTGCATCTCAAAAGTCCAGTCAATGGTTACACAACAAGCATTGGTATTTATCTCCTGCGGGGAAGTGCACTTGCAAGTATAAGGTAAACACTTCACCATTGAGGGTTCCTTGACTAAAGCTTCCATCCCAGTTTTTCTTTCTCGCTGCAAGCCAGATTGCGTGAGTGTCTACGGAAGGCTTCCGGTCCCAGGTGAAGCCGTCAATTCGTACTCCGCTAGCTATCCGCTGCCGCTCTGTCAGGTGATGGCATCCGGCAGCTCCGCAGAACACCGTGGTTGCAGTGAACACAGAAGATGCTTGCGACTCAGGCATTCGGTGGGATAGAGCTTGGCACGACGATCCGGAGTGGGTCGAGGATTTGTGCGAGCGTCTGCCTTACAAAGAGTTGTTCCGGTATAAGTTCCGACGATCCGGCCATATCACTGTTTGGAATGCAGAACATACAAAAGTTGGATCAAATCAATTTCAAAAGTGTGTTTCAACAGTCGTCTTGTTGCATTGTTAGATAGCAGGGTTACTATGGGAGCCGTGGCAAAGGGTCGCAGCAGCAGCAAAGCATTGAGCAGGATTTTGAGAAGCACACTTCCGTACGTGCTTGGGAGTGGGTTGTATCCGGGCACATTGCGTTGCAGATCTGCTTGGAACCGGGCCGATGGACCTTCAAGGGATGGCCCAGTTCCCCCTCCTACAAGGCCCATCCCTGTTTGGTTGAAAGCGTTGCTGGACGGCAACGCAAGATCTTTTGACATTATGTTGGCATCAGCAGAATGGATCCGTCCTGTGGGGAGGTGGTATCGCCTTCTTTTGCTGATGTCAGGAGACATCGAACAGAATCCCGGGCCTCGGCAGTTTTCCTGCTATCAGCCCAGGGGGGATTTGAACATGCTAAGCGGGTTTGCGCAGGCGACCTCTGTTCGAATGAAGAAGTGCCTAGAGGCATTTGAGCTTTGGTGTACTACCGAGGCCAAGGTGACACTAGAGGAGGTTCTAAGCACCGCAGAGCTTGCAAATATGGGTCTTAAAGGCTATGGGCTTGCATTGTTTAAGCAGGGAGCACCTCGCTACTGGCTTGTCTATGCCATTACGGCAGTACAACAGTTGCGTCCAGAATTCCGTTCGTGTCTGACTGGCGCTTGGGCTGTTGACAAGAAGTGGCAACTTGAGGAGCCCGGCCAATGCCGAGCTGTTCTGTCTGCTCCCGTACTGCGTGCTGTACTTTGTCTCTCACTTTTGTGGGGGCGGTGGTCGTTTGCTGCGATCACAGCGCTTGGTTTCAGGAGGAATGTTGCATCCCAATGAATTCCTTCAGTTGACACGGAGGGACTTGATCTTTCCGTCGGATTCCATGCTGGAGACACGTTCGCTGTACATCTTTGTCAAAAACCCCAAGACATCACGTTTTGCACGAAAACAACACGTTAGGGTCGACGGCGATTCTTTAAGTTTTCTTGCTTGGTGTGTGTTTGGCCTTCAAGCTTTGGACACAAAGTTGTTTGCAGCATCAACCGCTGCGTACAGGCGGCAGTGGAACAGTGTCATGGATTGCTTGCAGATTCCTCGCCGTCAATCGGAAGGAGGAGCTACACCTGGAACGCTCCGTGGCTCAGGAGCAACTCATGAATATTTACAATGTGGCAACATTAGTCAGATTCAATGGAAGGGACGTTGGAATAGATTAAAAACTCTTGAGCATTATATTCAGGAAGTTGCCGCGCAGTTGTTTTTTTCAACTTGAGCCCAGTAGCTAGGCAAAAGATAAGTGCTTTGAGCAGTTGTTTGCCGTTGGTGTTGGAAGAGCTCTTCCCTCGAGAGGTTCAAAAATTTTGCGAAGCAGGATGAAGGGAGTGGAATGTCGACACTGCTGGTTTTGACCTCCACGTTGAAGACGATGGCTGTTGCTGGCAGATCTCCATTCGACTTTCTCAGTTGGCAGCGCATGCCTTGACCCTGAATCTCAGGGGTGGGAGTTCTTGTGACAGCGGAAAAGAGCGCGAGGGATATATATATATATATATATAGATATATTTCATGTATATATATGTACTTTCTTTCTTTCTAACATCTCCCTGCCAAAAAAGCAGAAAAAAAGAAAGCATTACAGGCTCATTTTTCACGAAGCGTGTGTCAAATCGAGGTTTGTGCAGCAGGTCTTTTGGCCTTCTTGAACAGTTCTTTGTATGGTCCCTAGAAGTCCACAAACTACATTATGTTGCCCCACTGAAGTAAAGAAAGGCTTTTGGGTCACCTGAAGACCACTTGTTTAAAATAGTCCTTGACTCGCAGGTGATCAACTCAAGATGTCTGAATAGTCTTGACCCCACCTCTGTAGCCGTTGGCATTTCTGGCTGCACCGAGCCGTCCCTTCACCTCCGTCGCACGGGCGTGCTCCGCCTGCCACGGGGTGGCTTTCTTCACCGGCCACGCGGTTCAGGCATTCCAGGGTGCTGAGCCATATCCAGCAGCAGGGGCGCCGTCTGGCCAAGCAGTACGACCCGGGGCAAGTGGGACCCCCACAGAAGGGACGGGGGGTGGTGCTTGGATTTCATGCTGAGACACAAAAGTTTCGCCCACATCCACCCGCCACGTCTCGAAAAAAAGAGGGGGTCCATGACACCACCAGCGCCTGACCCACCTGACCCACCTGACCCATCGACCGGGGTGGGTGGCACCTGCACTGCGGCCAAAGCCCGCGGCCCGAACGCTCGGCTCTGCTCCGCTCCTTCGGCCCGAACGCAGGCGCCCATGAAGATTGTGAGTGACGTGGACGACACCCTCTATGGGAGTGCCCAGGGCGGCAGAATGCCAGGAGAGAAGCGTCTTGAATATCGATGCAGTTACCTTCTCGAGCAGTGACTTTCTCAAGGTGGGAGAACCCTCAGTTTTTGGGCTTGATGCACAGACAGTATAGAACCTGTGGATTCCTCAGACATTGGGCACACAAAATATATCTGTTCATCTCTGTTCATAGCTCCAAAGACCACAGGACCTGGAACTCTCTCAGTTTTCTGGCATCCCTTAGAAACTAGTGCCGACAACTCAAGGATAGGTGGCCAGTGAAGAGTACCAAAGCGATTCCCTTGTCGACTGAACATCCCTCGCACTTTAGCTTGGCGTTTTGAACCTGGTGAAATCCTTGTGAAGACTTGTTTTTCGTTCAAACGATCTGTGAGATTTTCAGAGTCATCGGGCGCACTCCCTTGGCTTGGAAACGACCGCGCTTGGCTACGGCAAACCTGAGACGAGCTGGAAGGCGAGCGATTGGACGAATCAGTGAGGAAGACTTGTTGAAATCACTGGGCAAAGAAGAAAGACCCCACAGGGTGCTCCAACCGTCCGACGAGTCTTGTGTTCGTTTTTGTTTAACTCTTTTTCGTCGTCTTTTGGAGCCAAGATCATGAGGGAGTGTAGGAGTGTAGGACAAAAGGTCGCTGCGCAGAGACGATGAGAGGTCGATCCTTTTGATGCTGCGATGCTTCAGACGGATCTGTGGGGCCCACAACGTCCCACGTTCCCAGCGTTCTGAAAACCTGAGGCGGTGGACACTTCCCGGCGGGCTGCGATGAGCGGTTTCCCCGGCATCAGGCGAGCATTCGCTGCTCACCGTTCGATTTGGGGTGGTGAGCTGAATATCTTTAGGGTAGGGAAGGTCCATGACGATAATACTCAGCATCCTACAACAAAAAGCAAAGCACTGGAGAATCTTGGTCCTTCTCTGCGAACATGGGGGCTTTTTGGGTGAAAGAACATGGGCATTGCAAAATCTGGCTATATACGTCTAAGTCTAAGTCTAGAGTCTAGAGTCTAAAGGCATTAGTGTTGGTCGAAGACTCCTGATAGATTGGCCGGTCCCAGAAGTAGATCAGTCACAACACGCATGGCCGACGTCAGTAGCCATTTTAGCCAAAGATTTGGATAGCATGCAGGATGGCCCCATCTGGCAAGCAGGCCATAGACGAATCTCCCTCAACAGAAAACACAACGGAACATAGCATAGCAGACTTAGCAGACCTAAGAAAACCAAACCTGGTGGCCGTCTACAGGGGCCACCTGAAATTAGCCGTGAAAGAAGCGTGACCAGCGCGCCTGTTGCAAGTGCTTTTCACCAATGTCGGCCCTGGGGGCCTCGCCATCCTTGTGGATGAGAAACGGGTGAATGAACTCTTACAACAGAAGAGCGGGATCAAGGCGAGGGGTCAATGTACCTGTTGATCACATGTCTGTGTATAGATGGCATCATGACAAGAACCGTCTTGAGGTGGTAAACAAACCTGACTTCTCCATAGCTTGGTGTCATCTTCATCTGAGGATATCTGAAACTACAGTCTTGGCATTTGTTGTCACCCCTTGGTTGAGCCATTTCGACGATTCGAAGGTGTGAGGTCCTCCGCTCGGGGAAATCACACCTGGTCTGCCCCATCGCCCTGCTCGGTGAAACGCCGATGTTGGACCACGCGCTCGTGCATGTTCACCACGTGTTTTTCCCGATCAACTCTTCCTGGAAAACACATGGCTTTTGGATGGCACCTGGGACCCCAAGTTGCGGATTGACCAGTACTTGGTCACCAACCCAACATGTAGAACACTCACACCTCTTGAAGTGGGAATTTCCACCTTTCGGGATAAAGAACAGCTCCCCAGTCCAAATGGGTGTATCTTCTTTTCACCGCACCAACCCCCTTTTGGCGCCGCATGCACCAACCGCATCCTTTCGTTGGCGGAGCAGCGGGTCGCGCGTTTGCTTTCCGCTCGTCGCAAGACACGCGTCGTGTGTTGAGAGCGATAGATCCATGTCGTCGTCGTTGTCCCGGTCAGCTTTCAACACGATTCTTTTTGTCTGCTTCCTTCTGCTCTTCACCTCCTTAGCCCTCAGCGAGCCGCGTGACAAGATGCGAGCCTTCGAAGGCTTCCTGCGGAAGCGCTTCGATGAAGCCTCATCCATTCGACTGAACAGCGTTCATTCAGTGGATAGCTTCTGGAGGTATTTCAACGAATCCTTCCAGGCGGCCATCTATGGTACAGATACGGCCAGATATTACTTTCCCGGAGCGGTGGTTCCCACCTGGCTTCAGGTGCTGGGGCCCAACTACCTCTATGGCATGGGACGGATGCGCGAATGTACAGCCCGACTCGGGGTGCCAGGCGGACCACCGTTGCACCCGTTTGGACGACCGGTGGAGGGGGACGTGAGTCCCAGGGACCCGAAGGGACCCGATTCGGGTTCGGGACACGCGGGATTGACCGGTGGACGAGGGCACCGGTCGACTTCGTGATTGAAGAGCAACCTCCCCATTTGGAGTGAAACACCCGAAGTGAATCCTTTGAATCTATGGGGTTTTGTTAATCAACTGGTCCGCCAGCACGTTTTTGGGCGGGACCCGAACGGTAGCACCAGGCCAAAACGAGGCCCAAAACAGGTGACACGCTGGTGACACGGAGGTGACGGAAGCTGTTTCAGGGCGTCAAAGAACGGTAGAAGCTCAGGAACTGGTTTTTGGCCTCTAAAGAGAGATCATGTGACGTATTGACCATATCATAATATCTAGTATACTTTTCTCTGGTTTGGAAAAGCGCCAACGCTTTTAAAGAGTATAGAAAGACATGGAAAGACGATGGTAACTGGTAACTGACTCGTTTTTATCGAGAACATCCGAAAAACATGCTTGTTGGACTCCTACGTTGAACAGAAAACACAGCCGGACGTTTGTTGCTCCCTCAGGTGGCGCAGCAATACCGGAGCTAGTTTCCCACGTGCTACGGCGCCTTCGACCTTGATGCGATGGATCGTGAGTGCTTTGGGCCTCCCAACGAAGAGGGGGTTCCAAGCTATGATTTCTCCCGTGAGACGCTTGGGTTTGCTTAGTTTACTTTGTCTTTTTGTTTCTATGTATATAATCACTCACTTTGGTGAATTTGGGGTTCTCATGCTCCCAAAAGCAAATCCGAGGTTGAGTACAGAGAGATATGAAGGCTACCTAGCCACTTATCCCTTTAGAGGCTATATGGAGATGTTTACTCCAGACTACCCGACCACGCACAACAAATTCCTGCAGATGCAAAATGATGGCTTCATCAGTGAGAAGACTCGCGCGATCTTTTTGGAATTCACCATCTACAATTTCAACCTGGGCCTTTATGGAGTGAATCGGATTGTATTTGAGGTTGCAGCTGCTGGTGATTGGACACAAAGCTATGAAATTGATGTCCCTTTACAGAGGCACTTGCAGCCCTTGGGCACAGGAACAGCCGAGGATTGGCTCATTTTGATTTTCGAGGCAGGCTTAGTGCTCTTCGTGCTGCGCTATGTCTTGGAGGAAGCATCCGAATTCGTGGGCGTGGAGTC